TGGGGCAGGGGGTGTCACATGCAGCGCTGGGAGTGCCTCATACCTTCCGTCAGACCTGCCTTGAGTCCAGCAGGAGTAGGGGATGGGAGTGGGGCATCCTGACCCCAGTTGGGTAGGGGATGCAGGAAGAATAGGACCCATCTGAGGAAGCTTCGGGACTCTCTCTTCCCCTAGATCTCCTGGACATATGCCTTGGGCAAGCAGCAGGTCAGTTTCTACCAGGTCCTGTTGCAGGAAGTGCCCAAGGAAAGCGAAGATGAGCTGCCCAAGGCAAAGAATCGTCCCTGGATCTTCAACAAGATCATGGGCACCACTGTCAAGCTGATGGAGCTGAAGTCTAACACATGTTACTGCCTCACTGTCCGAGCAGCAAACACAGCAGGGGTGGGGAAGTGGTGCAAGCCCTACAAAGTGAGCCCTGGGAGAAGAGGGGCCCTGGGTCCAGGGAGGGCTGGAAACACCCCTATATGCCCACACCTCATCTCCTTGCTAGCTGGCCTTCTGTCTGAACCAATAAGCATACAGGTTGCTTTTTTTCTGGGAGGTTTAAGGATTAAGCTATTCTGAGACCTACTAGGAATGCAAACTCATGTATTCCTTCAGCATCCCTGTAACGTTCAGCTCCCAAAGCCACTGGGTTTTAGATCCCTCTACCTAGTACCAATAATTGTGAGTGTGCTGGGAAATCAAGAGCGCTGAGGGAAATGGAAGACGGGGTAGAGGGAAGTGAAGGAGGAACAGGGCAGGGTGGGCAGGGACCCGGGGACAAGTCTGAGTGCAGGTGGCCCTTTGGTTGGAAACTACACAACTGGCGAGGCCCAACTTTGAGTCATGCCAATTTGGACACGTTTCCTATGTTAACAGATAGTTTGGATAAGGCTAAGATCCCACTTAGACAAAAGAGGGGTGACAGTGTCCTAGGCTCGGGTCTGGGAAGGAATTCTGAGGGGGTTTCTTGTTTCACTTCAGTTTGCAACCTTGGCCACTGACTTCAACAGCTTTCCTGAGAACAACCCCATCCAGATCACCGTGCAACGCAAGGAACCCCAGCGGAGAACCGTGTCCATGGGGCTGGAGGAGATGCGGAGGCTGGAAGATCTGGAGTACTTATTTCCCTATTAAGAGGGAAGGCCCCAGGAAGCCCCTTACCTACCTTCAGCTTCAGCCCAGGGCCCTCAGGAACCAGTACTATGCTAGGGAACCAATGACCCCCCTGCTGGCCCAGGGCCTGTCAGTGTTACTGGAACCCCACTTCTGGGCTGGGGTCAAGGTTATACAGGGGCCCCAACCCACCTGGAGACATCTCAGGCCCATACAGGCTCAACCACTGCCCACAACTTTTAGGCTCCCTCCTTCCCCAGATCTGGGCGGGGTCCAGGTCCCTCATTAAAGAACTGCAGGTCATCCAGCACCACCAAATTGTGCTTCATGCTGTGGACAGCTGCAGGTGGGCTGGCTGCCATTTATCTGCCAGGACTGAGAGTCCAGATGGGTGGGGGTGTGGAAAACAAGGGTGGGCTGGACAATGGGATGCTACCACCACCTATAGCTTGGCTCCCCCATCACTCTGTTTCGTGGGCAGGTGCTCAAGAGAAACAGTGATTGAGGACAGATGTGGCAGCCCAGAGACTGTTAGGCTAGATTTGAGCTCTAGAGGGACATGTACAAAGAATGCAAGCTTTAGGGAAGGGTCTGGTTTAATCCTGGCTCTTCCTCTTACAGGATGTGAAGGCATGGCTAATCATTTAAGCTGCTTTTGCTGTTTTCTCATCAAAAATCTGGGGACATGAGCACCTTCCAGGCATGCGTGCAGGGTCTGTGCAGCAGAACAAGCACCAGGCACTGAGACTGGCCAGCAACTGGCAGCTCTTGCCGCCCTTCGTGTAGCCTCACTGCGAAGATGTGCAGGGTAGAAGCTGAGAAGCACAGCTAGGTGATGTAGTCTTCTTTTTTTTTTTTTTT